AAACCAATACCTTAAGAATTAAAAAAAATTTTATCTAAATTTTAATTTTTTAACCGAAGAGCTTTTTTTTTTTTTTGCTCCTCGCTAGGGGGGGGTATCCTTTTTCTCCCCTCAAAAAGATGTCGTTTATCCCCCGAAGTCAACCCGTGCCCGACCCTACTAAGTACTTGCGAGAGGTACTTTCCCAGCCAACCCCATGATATAAATGTATTAATGATCAAAACACAAACCAAACACTATTGGATTTAAAAGAGTTATCCATATGATTTAAGATAGCGCAAAAATATCATTAGAAATCTTATAGAATCTAATTACATAAATATTAAACATGTTTAGTTTTTTTTAATAATTAATCATAAAATTGTCAATACAAAAATAAAAAGAGATTGAGAATCATTTAAATCTTTTCTGTAGTTTTTTTTGGAATGTAGTTTTTAGAAAAAAATTGTTATTAAGAATAACAAAACTACATTAATAAGATTATTAAATTATTAAATGTCTTCTTTAATGTGTTTATTTAATATTTATTTATTTGAGAAGACTGAATTTCAAATTTTTTAAATTGAAATAATTCTATAAATATTATATGGACAATTAAATGTATTAAAAGATTTAAAATTATCGTTTAATTTTCTGTCATTTACAGTACAGCATTATGGCACCTTCAACAACAGAGTATTAATACTATCTAGATTTTTAAAATCTTCTGCTCTCATATAGTTTTTTTTTTTAACAAGTTTGGTTGAAAGAATGAAAAGATTTTAACTTAATTATTAGTATCAAATTGGGCCTAATTTGAGTAAAAATAAAATTATTATTTTTAAATTAAACATATGCTTGCCCTTTTAACTTATTTAGATAATCTTTGCCATGCTAATAGTGAATATCCAGAGTTTTGTGTTGAAGTAAGTGCAGTAAAATAAAAAATTATTGAAATGATGCTATCTGAATGTATTTAATTTCTCTCAATTAGAATGTTTGATTTGTTCAGGTTTTGGTCATGAAGCTGGAAAAAAATGTCCTACATTAAAGATTATATTAAATATCTTTTCAAGACTGGCTCCAATAGGAACAGATAAGATTTTTGCAGATATAATAAGAAAAAAAATCTCAGAACACAAAAGATTACAAAAAATAGCACTAGAAATTTAGCTTTAACATAAAAGAAACTTAGAGGGAATTTAAATGCAGAAGATTTTCAAAGATTAACGCATAAAGAAGTAAAATGCTTAGTATGAAAATTTTACCAATCAGATGAATATTAATTAAAAAAGAAAACTTAACCAATCCTATAATATTGAGCTTGAATAAAGCTTCAAGAAGGTAAAAACACTCTAATCAAACTGAATGATGATGCATACATATTTATATGCAATATCTAATAATATAATTTTAACAACTTTTTACTTATTTTTCAGTTGAAAATTAAAAACAATTGAAATTTATTCAATTATTTTATCATTAAAATACCAATTTAATCAGATAATAGGGTATCAAACAAATAACAATAGCCCAAGATTTGTTTAGAATTCCAATCATTTTGATTAAATTAGTAATTTTACAATTGATACTAATTGAGATATTTTACCAAAAGTAAATAAATAAAATTATAATTTATCTAGGGACTCACAGGCATAGAAGTAAAGGAATTATTGATTTATTAGTAATCATTTCATAATTATTTAAAAATTTCAGCTTTGATAATAATTATACAAAATCCAATCATCATTCATAGTTTCTTACTATTTTAACATTATTTATGAATATATTGGGCTTTATGTATCTAGAATTAGTATAATATTGCTTTTTAATTATTTAATTAATTAAGTCAAATTCTCTTCTCACAAAATTTAATTAATTCATTACTTATGGATATCACTTTTCATCAGTGCAGTAAACCAATGATGAACTTTTAAATATTTTTCATTATATTTTGTTGTTATTCCTTATAGATTGAATAAAATATTTTTGATTTTTTTTATTTAACTTCAAAACTTGAATACACTTATACTAATTGTTAATAATTACTTATAGCTTAATGAAGACTTTATAATATTTTTAAAAAGAAATCTAATAGTTTTCTCGTCAATCTATATAGTATGTTGAGATAATCAACAGTTGATAGTATATGAATGTCTTTTTACTGAACTAAATAGAATTATTTTATATATATAAATTTTTATATTTCAAATCAAAAAATTAAAATATTCCTATTGTTTCTCAAATTCATATGATTTAAAATAACATCTTTTCTTATGAATTATAAGTCAAGTTAAGATTGAAATATCACACAATTAATTTTCATAATTGCTAATGCAATTTAAATAATGAGATTGATGTATTCTAAGCATTAATATTTTATATTCATCAGCTCGACTTGATTTGTTCTCTATTCATACTCTCGATCTGGTATAATCGAATTACTACATGGAAGCCTCTATTAATTGTTGATGTTCTGGCTTCAAAATAAGATGTATTAACTTTCACTTAATTTACTTTCCTATAATTTTGGTCTCCTCATAAAATGGCCAAAATTATTTATCATTCAAATAAAACGACTTGCTTAAATTTCAATTTTATTCATAGATTCTTATCTAGAAACATATTATTTAGCAAAGTTTCTATCTCAATAATAAATAATAGATAAAAGCTAAATACTAAATACTAAAACAAAATTGTATTATTTATAATAAATATTTATTTTTAAGACATTTAATAATTTGATGTAAATTATTCAAATTTTAATTTCTGCAAATATCTTAATTGTCTAAATATTCTTCTACTATTTTTCCCTTTTTTATAAGGTTTTCTTTATTCGATCATAAAGCTATATCATAGATTTAACAAGTGGACCTAGAATACCAAAAATTAATAGCCCTATTTAAAAGAATCCTAAATTGATTTTAGAACTGTATGGAATATGATTTGAAAAATCTTAACAATATAAGTTATTAATCTAAATAAATGCAATTACTGGAATTTCGACCCAAAATACAAACACTAAATCAACTTTTTATTTTATTAATTTGCAATAAGTTATTAAAATTAGATTAAGAGCAAAAGAAAATGAAAGCATAAGGCATTCAAGTAATGGATGATTTTGTGTTCCTATTAAAAATAAAAAAAACAGCAGCTTTCTCATCAAAATTATGCTCTCATATTATTATTCTATATTTATTTATCTATTAATTTTATTATATAAATTTCTGATTGGGCGAATCATAATAAAGAAAGTAGACGTCAAAAATATTATACAAATATAATTAGATATTTATTATCTAGTGCTATTAGTTGTATTTGAAAATAAAAACAAAAGTACTTTAAAAATTAAATCCTAGCTATTTACATGAAACATTTATAATAATTTTTCTTTACTCATGACTTTGGTTGAAAAAACGATACTTTTCTGTAAAAGATAAAGTTTTAATTATAGATATTTTAATAAATTTGAGTTTTATTCACTGAAGCATTTTGAATTAAAAAGATTATATTTTTCTTACTAATCTTTAATAACAGAGTGACAGCAAAAATAGTATTATTAATGAGGCTAATTATAATATTTATGCTTGTATATTTGTTAAAAAATCTGCATTAATTTCATATTAATTAAACTTCCCGATACTCATTAAAACATTTTCACCAAGAATAGAATTAAATAATTATACTATTTTAAAGTAATTTAAAATTGGAGACAGTGTTAAAAAATTAGAAGAATCAAAATAGATTTATAAATTTTCTGGATAATTGACATTTACATATTTTAGATAAGATTAATATTGTAAAATGTCTAAGATGTCTAAAAATTGCATGATTTAGCCAGTCATCAATAATATTGCTCCATAGCCACTCAATCCTATTTATAAGCTTAATCCTACATATTTAATTGTAATTGATCTCTCTAGTTAAGTAGAACTAATGATTTATGGAGTTAAGAGCTCAAATTGTTAAGTGTTTGGATAGATAGGCATAGAATTTATGTCCCATAATAAAGCAGATATATTAACAGTCAAAATAGGTTTTGAGTCTAAATTTTCATGAAATATGATGTCAATTATGTAATCAACCTTTCGAGTTTATTAAACTGTTATTTGTGTTAAATTAGATCTGGGTGTGACTTTGATGTTGTACTATTCATTTTTCAATTAAGAAATAAAAAATGATGAGTTATCAATGAAAATAATTTTTGTTTCATCAAGCTTGACTTCATTAGTATAAGACAACTTTATTTATTAAACTTCGTAGTGTTGGAATAAGTATGTTAATTACATTAAGGTTATTTTATAACATTAATTTAATTTGTAAGAAAATTGAGTGCAATTCCATCCATTTTCAATAAAACAATGATCAGAACATCCATCATTATTTAAATTATTTCCATCATCGCACTCTTCTTATTCTTACTTTAACCCATCTCCACATTCACTTTCTTCTTAAATTATTTATTCTTTATACAATTGACATATTTCATTTTAACAATCATCACAATCTAAAAGCTAAAATTACTTACATTTTCCTTTTTCACAAATTTAACAATTGTTAGCATTAATAACATCCATCATAGGAGATATCATTACCATCATCGCAATCTTCTAATCCCTCAACAACAACCATCTCCATTTATATCATTTCCGTCATCACATTGCTCTTTAGAGAAAATTGCCAAAAGTTAATCTCCACATTTTTATTCACATTAATAATTTACCAAAGCCCATCCATCAAGACAAAAATAACATTATTTATTTAAACAATATAAGCATTCTAATTAGCAACTTTATTCATATTCATTAATATTAATATATTACAAATTTTATTTAGCATTATCTTAATTTAAATAAGTATTAATCTATTAAAGTTAATTTTAATTATTAAGATACATTTTTAAAAGCTATTCTCCACTTATTTATTAACATTAATAGTTGATTAAATCCCATCCATATAAACAAAGATAACATAAAGAATTAAAACATGATAAACATTCTAATTAACAATTATCATTAGTTAAAACACACTTGCTTTAAAAATTTAAAAGGAATTTTGATTCACACTCTAAACATATACCAAATGAGCAATTTTTACAAAATTCTGAACATGAAAACTTGCAATTATGGCATCCATCATAAGGAATGTTGTTACCATCATCGCACTCTTCAATACTTGTTACAAATGAATCACCAAAAATTGAAATGCAGCGATTTAACTATATATGATATATCCATCCTTTTTTGCACTCTTTTAATACTTTATTTGCCACCATAACTTCTGATTATAAATCAAATGAATCTCTTTGTATATATTAATTTAAATCTCTTGTTTCTAAGGCTTAATAAAATAAGCATTAAGGATCGCCTTATGAAATTAAACATCCAAACTCATTACAAAATTAACAACCTGCTGGGCATTCTTCAATAAGCAATTTAAATTCTGATATCCCCCAATAATATGCTAATCCTTTTATCAGAACCAAAGCTGAGGAACTTTAATGGCTTATTGAGAGAGAAAGGAAATGCTTTGAGTCTGAATATCCAGATTATCCACAAATATTTGAACTACTTTCACTGGTATAGTAGGGTAAATTAAATACTTCATAATTATCGATTAAGACAACAAATCTTTCTCCATTCCATAAATCAATTCTAAAATTAAATAAAATAATACAAATATACCTCCAAAAGTTAAATTAGATATTTATTTTAAAATGTGGGGGTAATTCAAATGTTTTATAAATTTAAGTACTCCAATCAAAATAATCTTATCCTCCTAAGATTAAATTAGAGTCACAAGATTACACACAACAACCTGAATTTTCAACAATTGTCCAATCTGATGATTATCAGCCAATTTTACCATTATTAGAATTGGAAAAAGCCCCAAAAAAAATTTTATAAACTTCTATCAAAGCGTTGACTTAGATTAATTGGCTAAATAAAAAAATTATGAAAATCCATAAGCAAGAAGCAACTAAAGCCAGACAAGCGCCAAATAATTTCTTGAACAAGAAGTATAAAATTTCTAAGGAATAGAAACATAAATTATTTAAATGATTGTGTTTAATGAAAAAATAAATTATTTGAATGTCATGTTAATTCAATTATTAATTCAGCAGGCAAATGAATTTTTACCACAATTCTCTTTTTAATTTTAATTCTTCTGCTGAAATATTTAAGTTTGAAGGACAATATTTTTTTATTTTTAGAATTCTTAGATTAAATCAAATTCATGGTAATAAAGATTTATTATTAGATAGATTTGTTTTCTGTTGTAAACAAGAGCAATTGCATTTAAAAAAGAAATTGCTGGATTAAGTGCTGCAACAGCTCTTAAAGTTTCTAAATAGCTTCTTATTCAATACCTATAGAGATTTCTTTCAAATTTTATTATTATATCAATTATATTAGTCTTTTCAAATATAATATTATAGATAAATGAGTAAAAATAAAAAAAAAGTATTTAAAAGATTATTTCAATATATTATCCAGAGATAGTTAATATTAAGTTTAAATGTAATTGGTATGGGAAAATCATAGATGTAGTATAAAATGAAATATCTATTGATAAATTTGGATTTTTGAAATATTATGATAAAATTTAAGGCAGAAAAAGCTAAATATGGCAAACATTACTTATATATAAGCCAAATTATAATTCTTAATTCAATCAACTTACACTTAAAGTCAAATTAAATAGGCTCATCAAGTATGAATTAAATTAAACAATTTCCTAAAGCTTAAGATTCATCAAATATTGAATACATTCAAAGGAATGAGCCAATAGGACATGTTTAAATTAATGATGTAACTCATATGGATTCGATTAAATAAAATGAGAATTCATTAATCAGTAAGAAAGTGACATTGAATGACAATCAAAAATACATCTTTATTAAACCATAGAATTTGTGTCATATTTTGAATGATGAAGACTTTCATCTGTTTACAACTGATGAATCAATTTTCAAAGATACTGAAACATATAAGTTGAATTGCTATTTTGTATAATTAAAACTTCATATCTAGGCCTTCATTTTAATATTGTCTTATCAGTTTCATCCTTTTATTTTAAAAAATTATTTTGAAAGTAATATTAAGTTAATTTATTCTTTACTAACTTTATTTTAATAAAATTATTTTATACTTAAGATTAGATTTTATAATTATTTCAAGGGAAATTTATTTTCGACCTCTTTTTAAAATTTATATTCCAATATATCCCCATCATCAAATTTTAATGTTTTTATTTTATGTTTTATTTCCTTTAATCAAATATAAAATGTAAATTATTTAGCTTCTACTAACAATTATTAGAATAAAAAATAATTTTATAGTCACTTGGTTAATTCATTTTCCAATTTCATAAGCTTTGGCTTCAAGTAATCCATGATATATATTTCCCTATAATCTTAAATTAATTCTTTCTAGAGTCTTTGCTTTCTTTCCTTCCTGCAAGTATCATATTTATAAGGAATTAAATTTTATTAATTTCTATTCTCCATCTGCCTCTTTTGGCAGTTAGCCTTTTCAAATAATATTCCATTTTTCTATCCTCTATTTTTTTCTCTATAATGGCCTTAAGATCAAAGAATTGATTTCTTATAAAGTTTTTAAGAAGTTCTATTTTTTAAATTAAATTTATTTCCCTAAGGTAAATCTTATTTATTTGTATTAAAAAAAGGAGCTCCACTCAATAAATATCATTAGCGTTATTAATTTTGTGAAAAAATATATAACAACTATAATCAAATAAAGATGGTATTTGTTATAATTTTAATGTAGATTTTAAAAATAATTTGAACAGATTCATTTTGTGATTTTTACTGATATTTCTTTTTAAATTATTGTATGCATTTCTTTTTATTAATAACTAAATAATTGAAAATTATTATTTATACTGGAGATCTCTTGATAAACTTCATTTGAAATCATTTTGTTCTTGTCTTAAAATTACAATATTTATTAAGATATCGTGTCAGTATCCCTATAGTTAACGACTAAAGTTATATCAGAATATATGCAAGCCGAATTAAATACAATAAAATAAAGACTATTACTTCTTGTAAGATCTCAAAAGGCCTCCAAACAAAAAATATACAGATAATTTGATTAAGATGAAGTAATACCATATCCTAATACCTAAGTAAGGAGAACTGTCACTTATATTACTTATGTTGTAAAAAGCTATGATTATATCTATAAACATTTCCATATTTGCCAGAATCAAATTGATAGCCATGTGGTAAAATTTAATTAAATAAAAGAGTCTAAAAAGAAGATTATATTGCTCTGATTATTAATCACATTAATTCTAGCCCTAAACCTACTCCAAATCTATCCAGGACTTTATGAAAATAAGAAATTATTTTAGAAGAGCAAGAATAACCAGAGTGAGATTATCTAACCTCATTAAATTTGTTTTTTTAAATATTTATATTATTTTATAATAATATAACATTATTCTTTTTGGCTGGCTCTATTAATCTATCTATTATTCTGTCATTCTAATATCTCAATATAAACATTTGTTTTCTTTTGCTTCTAGATTTCATTAATAAATGATTACTTTAACATATTTCTTCAATCTTTTTTATAAATTTAAAAATATTTAAAATTTATCATCATTACTAATTTGATACTATTACTCAACAATGTCATCCAATATATCTCTAGTTTCAATAAATTAACAGCTTTACTATTAAGCAATTATAATAAAAGATACTTGTTAATCATTAAAAGGTCCTATTTAATCAGCGATATACATTAAAACAAGAGCAATAATATAAATCCACCACTTAAAGAAGCTAAAACTTATAAAAAAAAAGTAATTTATCATACTAATACTATGCTAGAAATAACTGCCTTATAACAATTCCTCATATTTATCCTTCTTAGCAGGGATAGCATAATTTGTAAATAGATATTTATCAACCCAAAATAGAATTAACAATGAAAGCATTGTAAATGGAATAATTAATGGGTATTAAAATCCAAAGATCATGCCGATGGCAAAAATCTTACTGATAGCTATTTGTTTTTAATAAAAATTAAATTCTCTTAATTAAGATAATTAATTTGCTTCTATTTAGGTTTTATTATTAGCTTTTTTCATTTTTAATCTTAAAAATTTTATTTTTTTCCAAAAATAATTAAAATCTAAAATTGAGGTTATCGTAGGAATAATAATATTCAAACAACTCAGCGTTATCAAATAATCAATAATACCTCCATTTTATAACATTTTTTAACTTGATAACCCAAAAATTGTATAATACATATTCCAAGTCTCAAAATCTGAACTCTGCAATTACTACATACACAATATAATACACTAAATATTATAAATTATTTACAAAATGATACATTAATAATGTTACTTTATTTAAAATTTTAATTCCTATTAGATCAAATATCTTAAAAGTTATCATTGAAAGTAATGTAAAGCAAACATTTAAAAATTATTGAATTATTTAATCTTCTTCCCCATAAACATTATTATTAATTAAATTATATCTTATTTTTAATATAATAAATTAGGCTATCATCAACAATTAACTGCTGATACCTGCTATAAGTAGCCAGATAAAAAATTGAAAAGATGGGCTTCCTATTTAACATTTAGAATAACATTTTTGATTTTAATTCTTACAAAGTCGAATAAATATTTTTTTTATTGTGTTGCTTATGAATATATCATCTAATTAATAAAATTAAAAATATATGAATTATTATTTAAAAGTTTATGTAATATCTTCATTCCCAACAAATACTTCCCTTAATATTATTTTTTTTCTTTTTGAATAAATAAATATAAATACCGTTATTATTGTGTCTCTCTCAAATAATTGAATTTTAATTTTTCAAATAATACATCTTCGTACTTTTTTAAATTTACGCAATAAATAGGTTTACATATGCCAGAATTTTGATCCAGAAAAGATAGAATTTCTTTATTTGTGATTTTTTCTGGAATATAAACCCCATGAAACCATATAAATAAAATTTTTTTTAGTTTTGCTATTTTGGCTATTTATGCCTTAAAAGATCCAGTTCCATACTTATTGAAGATTAAATAAATGACGAACGTCACAAGAATGGAAACTGAATAGTATATATCCGAAAGACTAAAATAATTGGAAGTCAGATTCCATATAGAATATATTTTGAGTGAATTTTTATCACAATTTGGATGTTTTTCACATTCATCCCCTTAACTGTTAAAAAATAATCCCAAAGGAACAAAAGCAATGCTAAATAATTAACAACACTTATTTACCAAAGAATATTAAGTTATAGAAGCATCCACTTAATTGTTTAAAAATAATCCGATTCTGCAGAACAGTCTTCATTTAAATTATCACACAATTTGTACTTAATTTGATCTTTATAAAACCCACAACAATTGCATTTTATAGAATTTAATTGAGGTTCCTTATAAACTCTATATGCTAACTAATATTAATTATGTTAGTATACTCCATGCAATTCAGCTTTCTTTATATCAGCAGGAATGTCATAGCAATTATCAATGATATCAGGGAATATTTTAGACTCTTTTTTGGAGATGATAAATTCACTTTCCATTTTAATAGAATAATAATTATGCTAATTTGTTATATATTTATGAAAAAAACAATTAATCTATTAGATAAATATTATTACATTGAAAATGATAAATAAGTTTTTTATGATAGATGAGAGAAATTAAAATAATTGCAGCAAGAGTTTAAGATGATAGAATAATAATGCTTGAAAAATAAACAATAATTTTTATAAATTTCTATCAATTAATATCCTGAAATTTCTCAGCAATGGAGGATGTATTTTTAAAAATTGAACAAGAAAAGATCATTATAATTTTGTTTCTCTGTATGTACATATGATTGTCAGCTTTATATATGTTAATTATTGGCTTAGTCGTTGTTATACTTTATTTGTCATAAAACTATATGTAGTTGAATCTCTTTTAAAGCCTCTAAAAAAAATAAATTGTTAAACTTATAATATTTTTTTTAATTCTTTGAATTAATTTATAATTGAATATATATATGACATATGAAAATATGTTACTATGAATTTATATATTTAGTTTATCATATTCTCATTAATCATATTTCATCTAATTGCTAAATTCTTAATTTAATTTGTTTTCATTTTTTTAAGTCCTTCTTTCTTTTTATCTTTATGCATCATAACCTATTTTTCAATCTTTTTCCATGATTAAATCTTTTCTAAAATTATCGAGATCTGAATTACTCAATTTTGAAAATGAGAAAATAGAATTATTTTCTATGTAAATTATATCAATTTATTTAATTTATCATTTCAATTTGAGATAAACAAGAAAATTCTAAATGCCAAAATCTGCAAAAATTTACCCTTAAGAACTAAGAAGTCAATACTGAATATTAAATTGATTTTTAGTTGATTTGAGGTTTTAATTCCTTGATATTTTGGTTGATATTATGTTTGATTTTAAAAATAAAAATTTCCAATGTCATTTCATAAATAAACTATTTCATATTGTGAAGATATTATAATCAATTATGAGATTACGATGTCATCAGCAAATTGATAGTTCAAATAACTAAAATCACAGATTAATATAAGAATCAATAAGAAGTCTTCTAAGGCTCCATCACTAATGAAAGTTTCTTAGGCTTATGAATAATTTCAATCTAATCTCCATAAATACTTTACTTATAAATAACTTCAATTTTTCACAATGCTATAACTTAAGAAAACTCAAGTACATACTAATTATGTGTATCTGCTTGGATCTTGGTAAATATGGGTATGAATGCGAAAATAAAACTCTATTAGGAGAACATAAAGATGATATTACAAGTTTAATTTATTCTAAAAAAAATTAATTATTAGCATTGAGTGAAGATTAAAAAATATTTTTATGGAATATTAATGCGAAAAAAAAATAGCAATATTTGAAAGTCATATGAATACTATTAATTAATTATCTTTTTCACTTGATGGTAAATGTTTGGCTTCTGCAAGTAATGATTAATAAATTAAATTATGGAAAATTGAACTCAGTGAATAATAAAAAATATCAAAAGGACATTAAAAATGTGTAAGTTAAGTTGCTTTCTCTAAAGATGGTCTGATTTTTGCATCAGGTAGTTATGATAAATCAATAATTTTATGGGATTTAATAGATAAGAACTTAATCATTATGTTACAAGAACATACTTCATTTGTAAAATATTTATCGTTCTCTTTTTGTTCTAAATGGTTGGCATCAGGAGGTTGTGATGCTTCAATTTGTTTATGGGATGTTAAATTTCCACACGAAGCAACTCTATTCTATAAAATATAGGAGATATATTTAATTCCAGATGAATTATAATTTAGTCCATAAGGATGTTTTACTACTATTTCAAATGATGATAGAGAATAAAATAAAAATTAAAATGATGAAGAAAAAAAATTATAAGTTACTAAAATTTAAGTTTGAAATTTGAATTAAATTGGTAAACAAGAGTAAAAATTTTAAATCTAAGAATTTACTATTAACCCTGAATTCATATCGGATAATAATGATATCTTTTATGGTTATGATAAATTAATTAAAGTTTATGATTTATCAAAAAATTAAAGTGAAAATCTTGAAGGACATTTGAATGAAGTAAAAATGATTAAATCTAGGTTTAATGGTCAAAAATTATTATCAGTAGATAAATTTAATATTATGATTTTTTGGTAAAAAGTAAATAATACTTGGGCAATGCAATCAAAAATTAAGCTGAATTCGTCTATTAACTTAAATTGATATAATTAGTTATTATCAAGATTATATAGTAACTATGAATAGCGATTTAATAATTATATCATCACTTTATTAAATATAAGATTAAAAACCCTCTATTGATGTAAATTATAGCACGCATATTGCATGTAGTTATTTATCAAATAGTCAAAACTTTTTTATATTCCTGAATTATGATTATGAAATAACATTATTAAATTGTGTTACTGGAGTAATTTATAATACATTTACTAATCCTTACAGTTAGATTGAAACAAACGAAGTTAAAATATCAAATGATGATAGATTTTTAGCTGTTTCTGATAGATATTCAATTTATATCTTTGAAATCTCTTAAAAGTTAAAGAAAGAGATCCCAAATATAGAAAGAAGTCTTTAGATTTTCAAATTTAGTTGGCATGATTCAAATATTTTATATACAGTATCCGAAAATCGCATAATTAGAAAGTGTGACATACAAAACGAATCTAATGAAATTATTAAGGTTATAGAATGTTCTAATCCATATTCTAAAATTAGTTTAAATTTTTCCTAATAATACAATTTTATAGTTTATTCGCACAATAATAACCACTTAATATTATTAATCTCGGCAAGAAAAATAACTATCAAATTCCTAGAGAAGATTTGAATGGCCTTG